GAAAGGCGGGGCATAGAGGAGAAACAATAATGTACAGTATGTGGAAAATAATGTGTTTTTTGAACCTTAAACCGCATAAACACATTTCATTACACCAAATACACAAAATAATGTTATTTTTAGCAACATCATATGACCTAAATTTCACTAGGTGAAAGTCACTAGGTCACTAGGTGACTATGATTTAAATTTCACTAGGGTAGTTAAGGCTGCATCACTTTAATAAACCGACACAGTCACAGTCAGCATAACTCACACTGGATGATATGAGAGACCAAAAGAGCAGCGCTGGCGTCGCTACACGTGAGACGTCCGCTGGCCAGATCCTGCCTCACCTGCAGCGCAAACAAGTACCTGAGAGAAAACAGGCATACAAGCACATGTGAGAGACACATGAAAGCCTCAGTGAATGAGCTGAGGGCGAGTGGAGGGATGGCCTCACCTGGTCAGCTCCTCCAACAGCAGCGAATGATCCGGGGGGAAGAATTTCACAACAAACCGAAGGAAGATATGCTTGGGCCCTGGACACACACACACACACACACACACACACACATTTTATATAAGCCTAGCATGAATGTGTTAGACTCAGATCATTTAAATATAGAGACTAGTATGTCTTGTGGAAATCATAGAGATGCTAAACTCTCTCTCTCTCACACACACACACACACAGAAGTGAGGCCTCTTACGTGTGATCTGCTTTCTAATGGGCTTTAGTAAATCCAACCAAACCTGTGGAGTAGAGCACACAGCAGAGATGAGTCTGACTGACACACAGATCTTTAAAAAGGCCTTGTACAACACAGCCTCAGCTTACATAAACACACCGCAACAACTACATTTCATAAACTCACTGACATATTCACAACAACTATTTTGTGTTTAGATCATTGAGCTCCTACAGCAGCAAAAATCAACTTGTTTAATTATATTGGTCAGAGAAATGGTGGAAAATGGTCCTAAAAATGTATTATGACTGTATTTGGTGTAAAAAAATAAATAAATCTGACTTACCATTTTTCTGTGATGGCTCTGGAACTCTAGGCCAAAGTAATCCCCCTCAATAAGGTTCAGATGCAAGCAGACCATCTCGAACAGAACCCGGCCCGATGCTCGATGCTGTTAACAACAAAACACACAGATGATTTACTAGTTAGAACGAATTAGGCTTGATGTCAAAACCTCTTAAACTCTTTTGCTTCTGAATCTAGTTGTTAGGTTTAGGGTTTAGGGATCTAGAATAAGGTCGTGCAGAATAAGGCATTAATATGTGCTTTATAAATACTAATAAACAGCCAATTTGCTAGTAATATGCATGCTAATAAACAACTAGTTAATAGCGAATAGTAATACCAAGCAGACTTCTTTTTCATTAGGAAAAATCAGAATCCTAAACAGATGCAAAGTTGTAAATCTGTCTGTTCACACTCAGTGCAAAAAGGTTGCATGATGTGTCAAAATTACAATCAGAACATGTCTAGAATTTTTGGCCAATGAGATCTGATGGACCTGTGTACTAGTGCAACACGAGAAATCAACACCAAATAACCCACAAAGCGTCTTGTTGCTCGTCGTCAAATATTTAGGACAGAAACATAGAATGGATAGAATTTATTGCTTGTTAGAATCTGTCCTGACTGACTACCCAAACAATACTCTGACATCATCAGTACAACATTTAGCCCCGCCCCCTTCTGAGGAATCACAAGTCTGAGCAAATATCTGCAGCAATGACAGTGAGATCTGAAACATTCCATCCCGATGAACATTCCATCTGGTTCCCATGGAAGATCGCACAGTTGCCATGGTTATCATAACCAGGGGGCAAGATTAGTAACTCCTCATCTCACTGCATAGAGACACATCATAGAGACAGAGACAGAAAGTGGTAAAAAAGACAGAGGTCATAATTACTAAAAAAAGTCACAAGGGAAAGACCATCAGAAAGGAAAGCTGAACACAATAGCAGAAGAGGGTGGAAAACAAAGAGATAGTTCTTAAAATAGCTGCCTGGCTATTATTATTCAGGTCCTTGTAGGCAAAAACAACACTTCAAAATCAATATTGAAAATATTTGACAGTGGATGTCATTAAAAAATCCGGAAGAGAAAGACTGTGAATTTCAAATGTGTATTTGCAAAAAACAAATTTACACTAGCACATACAGTAGATGACATTAATGCAAGACATGGATTAAAAGCCGCAATATTTAAACCTTTTTTAGTCACAGTGTTATGTTTTTGGCCAAGAAAGATAAATGCACACATCCGTTTGTCTGTCTCTCTCTTTGTCTTTCACTCTACAAACAGAACTGACCCATTATATCTAGTTAACATGAACCAAGTCAATTACTGAGAGGTCACAAGACAACAGAAGCTTAAAATAGCTGCCTGGCTATTATTATTCAGGTCCTTGTAGGCAAAAACAACACTTCAAAATATTTGACAGTGGATGTCATTATCCTGGCCTGTGCACTTATATCTTAAAGATCTCATGAAATGGCTTCCCCTAGTGAAAGGAAGTACACTTCAGCATACTTTAAAAACTGGATAGTATAAATAATATACTTTAAAAGAACAAATGTAATGCTTTCAATTTCAGACAATTAAATGTATGTTAACTGCAAATGTAAAATCAAATATATGTAAAATTAAATATCACACTACAGTTAAAATTATAATCAGGGACTACATCTGCTTCAGTACGTTAGTCAACACATCAAAATAAGTGTACTTCTGTAAAGCATGGAAAACATTTTTAAAACGTGATTTGAAATGTACTTTTAATTTGGCATAATGACAAAGTGCACTTTGTAAAGGTTTACTTAAGTATCATGAAAGTGTGTTGCCACAGGCATGTGTGTGTGTGTGTGTGTGTGTGTGTGTGTGAGTGTGTGTAGTCTATTCATTAACTCAGCCCTGCAGAAACCAGTGTTCAGTCGGTGGAAAATCACCCTGAAACATTTGTTCAGTCCTCTTGGTTTGCAAGATCTGAGACATTTTCCAGAGAGAATCGTGTACAGACACAAAAACAGCAAATGGTCTGATATAGTCACTGCTCTATTGTGTCAGGAGGACAGATTGTCTTTGCCATGCTTGCATCTGCCTTAAAGATATGTCATTACAGATCACATCACACACATGCAATTCTCACCTCCC